AACTTTGAGTGGGGGAGAGCAGCGTGGCCTGTGTGGTTGGAGTGAGGAGTGAAGTAGGATGAAGAAAAGAAAGGCCAATAGGTGTCAGACTCACAGGGCCTTGAAGACCATGTGTAAGGTGCTAGGTGTAGAAATATGAACCCACAATCTCAAGGCAGGGATAGGCATTCCAGACAGAGGGAACAGCATGTGCAAGGACATGGTGGGGTGAAATAAATGGAAGGGAGCACAAGTATACAAGTATTTTGGCCTGGTTAGAGCCCCGTGTACATCTGGGAGAATGATGGCAGGGAAGGTTTAAGTAAGCAAGGACCTTAGATACCGTGTACACAATCCAGACTCCTGGAGATGGAGAAATACTGGAGTGTCTAGGGGAGAGAAGTGGTCCCACTTAAGTTTTAGGGAGTGCATTTGGGCAGCTGTGAGGAACATGACTTGGCTGAGTCAGAGACACCGGTGAGGAATAGATTGCAAGAGACCAGGTGAGAGATGGTGAGGGCATCATCTAAGCCGCAGCAGTGTAGGTGGAGAGGAGAGAAATAAGGAAGGAAGCCACCCAAGGTTTCTACCTAGATGCGCTGATGCCATTATCTAGGCCAGGAAATGCAGGGACAGGGTAAATAATGAGCACAGTCAAGACTGTGATATGTTCAAGGGAAGATGACCAGAACGCAGGTGCATCTTCTAACCTAGCGCCCAGGAGAGAGCTCTGGGCTAGATTTAGATCTGATACCTACAGTTGGAGCTGTCAGAATGGCTAAGGTCACCTAGGGAAGGTGGATTGGGTGGAGAGACCAAAATTTTAGGGATGCCAACTTTTAAGGACCATGGGACTGAGGAGAAGAGAGACTGAAAAGGAGCGGCGGGGCCAGAGGAGAATGTCAGAAGGCTTATTATTCCTGGTATGGGAGCCTCAAGTCAGAATTTTTATTTACCTTGTTTCAGTTGTGAGAATTAAATGATACAGTATATGGCACTCACTTGATCTGATCCTAGGCTAAAAGCTTGGCAAATCACAGCTATTATTTTTGTCCAATAAATTATTGAACACCTACTGTATGTAAAGCAGACAAAGTCTGCAGACACCCAGGCTCCAGCTTCAGGGAGCTTACAGTCTAAGGGGCAACAGGCCTCTGGCAAATCGGGCTGCTCTTCCTCCCTGAGAAACATTTCTGTTTGGTCTTGGGCTCCTACTGTGGGCCGGGACCCTAAGTATCCCTAGTGCACAGTGCCAGTGCCACTTCTCCCCCAAATCCTGGGGCAATACTGTCAATCATCTCTCAGCTTACAAATCCGATATATGGAATAATCGTTGAGTGCCCACTGTAAAGACACTAGACGCTCCATTCTGTGGGATCGTCTGCAGGAGCAGAAATCTCAGCCTGATAGGAGAGCAGAGCAAATGTCTGGTGGAGAGGAAGGAAACCTGGTCTGGGGCTCAGGATGTCTAGGCTGCAGGTGTGGCTCCATCCCACACCTGCTGAGTAGCCTTATAGTCGTTTTTTCTTCCTAAGCTTCTACTCCCTCATCTGTATAAGAAGATCATAAAAACATTGATTGATTTTACCTTTGGGCCAGATGTAGGGGGCTGTGAGAATAATATGTTTAGATCATTGAAACGTCCCTGCTGGATGCCACCTTGACAAGGTGAAAGGCTTATGTGTTACAGATGAGTAAAACAATCAGTCAGCAATACCCAGCACACCGTAGGAATGCCCAGGAAAGCACAGGGACCTTCTCCCGACCAAGAACACATGAGGACTCCTAACTCTTATGCAAAAATCCTCTTGTCTCTGGCCTTTCACTTTTCATTTGCCATGGGGAAGAGTTGAGGTAATTGCATGTGTACCTGTCTCCTTGCTTCTTTTCTGTTAAAAGCCTTTCCTTCCAAAGAAATCATCTTCCCTAGTAGAGTTATGAGTCCCTTCTTTATCTCCTCAATCCTGGGTCAGTATTCTTTCCTTCCCAAAGCACTGAGGTCCCTCCATCCTAAAGGGGAAGGGGTGTGTGTATCTTTGTAGGAGAGGGAGGAGTGAGGAAGAGAATATCCTTTCAGATGCTTTGAGATCCTCAAAGGGTTTTATTCTTTGAGTAGCAAAAATACTCTACTCTCAGTAGGTAGGTCCTATACGCTTTGTGGAAAACGGCGTTCAGAGAATCCAGGTGGCTATTCCCTCCCCCAACCCACAAGGTATTCCTCTGCTCTGTGAGAATCTTCCTTTTCTGCTGTCTCTCTGAGCCTGGCCACCAAGACCTGGAATTCACCTTCATGTGAGATACCAAATTCCCTCTCCCTGAACTCCATTCTCCATTTAGCTCTCAGGCCACCAGCCCTTAGCACCGGCCACAAAATAATCAGATCTAGGACTCCTGGAGCCCCCACTTCCTGCCCACTTGTAAGTCCCCTTCGCTGTACCTCATCCCACCGCCTGCCAAGTTCCAAGGCTGCCCCTGACTCTGGGGACAAAAGGGGAGGAGGAATTGGCAGAGTACGGCTATTATCCCCTTTATCTATCCAGCACCCTTCTCCAAGGTCTCTGGATGGCAAAATGGGCCATAAAAGGATTAAACAGATATAACAGATGATCTATTAATTAAGGAATTTAATTAGCCCAGGCCTAGGCCCAAGCAAAAGCAAGGTGTGGGCTGCTCAGAGCAGACTGGGGAAAACAAAGCTGAAAAACCAGTGCTAAGTTGGGTTAGTGAGGTTCTTACGGGGGGACTGAGCCTTCTTGGCCCAGGAAATAAGTGTCCCTGGAAATGAATGAGTCAGATATTTTGTCTCCTTGAAGCTTCTGGAACCTAATGCCAAGAGGAGAGGAATGGGAGAGCTTGAATTATAGACTTGTAGATGTGAAGGAGTCCTCAGGAGTGATGAGTGTGGGGGTGCTCACTGAGAAAGGTTTGCCTCCCAGTTAGGGCTCCCCTCCTGCTCCAGCAAAGCACACACTTCCATTCCTGGCCGCACCCCATCTCCTAACTTGCTCTTTCTTTTCCTTTTCTTTATCTCTTGACTCTCCCTTGTCCCTTTCGCTTCTTCCAAAATTTGCTCCTTTTCCTCCAGGCTGGGCCGCCTCACCCCCTCCCCTTTCTCTTTCCTGTAACTTAAGCTGTTGTTGGGAGTTGGAGGAGCTGGGCTGGTTTGAAAGGAGGCCCCACTGCTTTTCAGGGAGGAATTGAAACCATGGAGCTGGGGGTGAGGGGAGCAGAGGGGGAGGGGGGCAACTTGAGAAATCAAAGCGGCTGCAGCTCCATCTGGGAAACCAACTTTGATTTACTAGCGAGGACCTGGCTCTCAAACCAGGCCCCCACCCCCTCCACAGCCCTGCCCACTCCCCCTCCTTCTCTGGATTTTGCTTTGTGGTGTTAACTTGGGGTAGGGGGGACAATTCCTTCCCCCAGCCTGAAAGCCTGTTCTTGTCCTGGGAGAATCAGCCCAGAGGAGCAAGGCCTGGGGGACCCTGGCTAAGTTGTGCTGCAGATGCTTCTAAAGGGGGCCTTAGGTTTCTGGAGCTGGGTGTGGGAGGGGACCCCTGGGAAGGAGGAAAGCCCCTCCACTCAGGCAGCCTGGCCCCATAGCCTGGCCCTGCTCTGGTTTGGCGAGACCCCTTTCCCCAGAGATGTGGGGCTGGGCTAAGAAGAGGAGGCCAGGACTTCTACAGCTGTGTATGGCCTTTACCTCAGAAGTGGGGGATTGGGGGAGTAAGAGCCAAGAAGAAAAAATGACTGAGAAAGAAAAGGGAAATCTATTTTTAATAGATTATTTTGTGTTGAAATTCAGTGTGGGCTATGGACGACACTGGGTTCCAGTGGGGACTCGAGGCCATTTGGATGGCAGTGCCACTTCCCTCCCCCTTTCCTCTCCCATCTCCCGTTTCTGTTTCACCTTGCTCTTTCTCCGCTGAATCCTTAAACTCCTCATTTTAAGGTGCTCTCTAATGGAAACTCTGCAATCAAAATAGGGTCCCGGGGGTCCTGAATGTCCATGCCAGGGTCTTCAGGATAGAGGAGAAAGTGGGTCGTGACCGAAGGAAATCTTGTGCATATTCTTGACTGACCACTCAGTCCTCCTCAGGGGGAGGGTGGGGATTTAAATCCCTGGGCTCCTGTGTCCAAAGCAGAGCCCCCCTTCCTCTGCACCCTCATCTCACTCATATTTTTCAAGAAAGGGCTAATTTGGCCTTTGCCCCCCCCCACAAATCAAAGCTTTTCAGAGCTCACAGAACAATATGGAACTGCCTCATCAGAGCTCCTGTCCCAGGACAATGTTCTTGGGTCCCTGCATCAGAATCATGGGAGAAGGGGTGTTGTGGCAGCATTCACCTGTTGGGAATACAGATTGCTGGGCGCTACTCATGATCTGAATTTATAATCTCCAAGTGATTGCTATATACACTCTAGGGCTATCTGCTTCCTAGACCACTCAATTATCTTTCAGAGCCCTAGTTAATCCTGGCAGCTGCCCAGTCTCACTCCAAACTCATTCAACTGCCCTTCAAAATCTAATCCCAACATAATCTGTCCGGTGTGAACTTCGACTGCATTTGCCACATTGTGGTGGACAGGATGGGCTGCACCCACTCCCACTC